TTCCATTGTTTAAGCACTGCTTCCAGCCAAGAGTGATACCATAAATCCCCTATAGCTGCAGAAAAGGCTAACATTGTTATCCTTTTACAAAAAAACAGCTGAACATGAGAGGTTTTTGGACCAATTTTGTGTTCTTCATTCTTTAAGCACCGGCACCATTTACCGGTTTGGTACTGGTATTGTATAAAACCTAAACGATACCCATCCCTACTGAAGAGCCTTGAGGTCCTGCAGGTTTTAGATTTGTCCTTGATCCATCACAGCTGATTTAAATGACTAAATTACCTCCTGATCATTCTGGCTTTACTACAGCACAAGACACTTTAACATCTTACCTACGCTATGTACACAAGCTGTAAATTTCACGATTGTTCTATTTTATCTTAATTTATACAAAGTATATAACTCACCCACTTGCACATAATGTCCTCTTTGTATATACTCATTCACTGTATATAAAGTTCTCTCTCTTTTTTGCACAGTCGAGGAGCGTATCAGGTCACATTTCATTGTGTTTTACTTGTATAACTATGCACGGAAAAAATTTTATTGAATCTTGAATCTCAGTGCAGTGACTTCGGCAATGGAGGTCATGAACATGGTCCATTTGGACTCAGTGTTCCCGCCAGGTCTGTCCAGCATCCTCTCCCGCCACCTGATCCAACTCACCACCAGGTGGTGATCAATTGATAGCTCAGCCCCTCTCTTTACCCGAATGTCCAGGTCTGGTGATATGATTACAAAAATCAATCATCAACCTGCAGCCTAGGTGTCCTGGTGTCACGTGCACTTATGAACCCTTATATTTGAACACTGTGTTCGTGGTCTATTGCTAACACAAACAGACAGAGGGCAGCCCTGCCTGGTTGACTGTTTTAAATTAAAGGGTTTTGACATGTTATTGTTAGTTAAAACTTGCACTGTCTGGCTTGTATACATGAACCAGATCCATTTGAGAAATGTTTCACCCAGTCCATATTTGGGGAGCACCTGTAAGAGATCCATTCTATTCTATCAAAGGCTTTGCATGCATCTAGTGATAACAGTGGTGTGTCATTATTGTTTTTCTCATATAGGACACGTCTTCTATTATGATAGCCTTGTCTCGTTTTAACAAAACCTTGTTGATCGTCTATTATCAAATTAAGCACATATTTATCCAATCTCCTAGAAAACGCTTTACACAAAATCTTTGTATCACAACCCATAAGACTGATTCCCCTAAGAGGAGCAATCAGAGTCTTATTTGGTTTCAATAAAAGGGTTATTGTAGCTAATCTCAGTAAAGCTGGGAGTATTCTGGATTTATATGACTTCTGATACATGTTTAGAAGTATCAATATTAATTTATTTTTAAATGTTTTATAGAATTCTATTAGAAGTCCAGGCGTTTTACCACTATCCAGATCGTCTATGGCTTCTGTGAGGTCTTTTATTGTTAAAAGGCTATCAAGGATTGTTTTATCCTCTTCTGAGAGGGTTTGGAATTTTAATTGCTCAAGAATTGCATCTTGTGTTTCTCTGTTTCCCATATATTCTGATTTGTATAAAGATTTATAAAACTCTGAAATTTTTGTTTATTTCTAAAGGATCTGTTGTTATAATACCTGATTTGGACTTTATGCTAGTAATGGCTTTTTCTGCTTGCATCTTTTTTATGCAAAGACGCAAGCAGGAAAATAATTGTAGGAAAATAATTCTATAATTTAAATTTTTTAGTCAGTTCAATATTTGTTTCATTTTAACCAACTCCCTTTCCCCAAAACATTCCAGGTCGGAATGTTAACGTTCAAAATGTTTCCTTTAGTTGTCCTCTTCATAAAATAGTATCAGATTGTGTACTTAAGATAGACAAAGTAAGGAAAAAGGAGATGCAGGTTTGCACATACATTCACATACTCACACACACCAGATACAGAACTTGTAAACAATCCCTGATTGAACATTTGCATTTACTTATCAGAAATGCCTCCCCCTTCCCTTGAGCAAAATATTTGGAGGGTGTTAATCCACATCACTGAGGAATAACTAGTCAACGCAACCTCAGTAAAGCCCCATAAATCAGACAGTGTCTACTTATCATATAAAGGTACTAATTTGTTCCATAATAAAATAAAGTTTATCCTTGATAGCAAAAAATAATGACTTAATTAAGGCTCAGCTGTTAGTATAGATCCTAAAACAATTCAGATTAAACTTAGAACAAATATGCGCTTTAAAATGCCCAGTTATGTTGTATTAATTCAAACTCAAGATTTTATCTGTCTCTTGTCAGTGACTCTGTTGCTTATCAGTTATGTAGGAGCAGGAGCTTTCTCATTAAATGTCTTAAAGGTTAACCTGTTGTTTAAGTAACTTGTCCTTTACGACTTACTGATCATGGGCATCTTCTCATGTGTCCTTTGGCAGATTCTTATAGAATTTTTCAGCTTCTTGAGGTGTTGAGAAAAGGTGGATCTTTCCATCGTACAGGATCCTGGGCCTATAGGGGTTGTGCTGGAATCCATGGAAGCCATTATTATCAATAAGCAGGTTGACAACCTGGTAAAAATCCCCATAGGATCCTAACCATTTCCGCAGACAGATCCTATGCAAATGTGATCTTGTGTAATTTGTTGTTTTCTTGCTTCCCAATATACCAGTTCTTTCTCTTGGAATTTTAAGAAACCAACCAGCACCGCTCTGTTCTGTTTCCCGGGGGCTAGCGTGCAATGTATTCGTTCCAGTGTGAATGACTTGTCAGGCGCTAGCCCCAGCATTTAGGTAGCATGTTGTTAATAAAGTCGAAGAGTGGTTGTTTCCCCTCTGCTTCCTCTCTTATGCCAAAGATGCACAAGTTCTTTCATTTTACCCGGTTTTCCAAGTCATCTGTTTTGGCTTCAAGAAGTAGGATTCTTCTGATAGCAGAGTTCAGTGATGTTTCTGTTTTTTCAAGTGTGCTTTCTACCTCAACAATGCAAGCCTCAGCCTCCTCGACATGAGCCGCCTGGTTCAATATGTCTCAGATTTGATTTGAACTCATCCAATATTTAAGCTATGCTAGTCATGTCAGCATCTGTGTTGTGCGCTGGATTTGGTGCGGTTGTCTTAGTGCCTGTCTTGCGTCTTCGGGAACGATTTCACATTGTTTGACAGATGAAGCTTTAGACATTTCAATGCTGTATATTCCAAACCACACTAGCAATCCCGCTATGCTGCCGTCTTAAGGCTGGGCCACATGACCCCATCCCTATGGTATATCTTTGTTAATATTGTCATTTAAGCTTATCATCAGATAATGAAGAAATTTTACAGCTGCTCAAAACCTGTCATATCCACCTTAGCCTTCACAAATAGCGTGTTGTCTTTAACGTACAGAGCATTTTGGGGAGTTTGCAGCATATTGTGGGAAATAAAGCAAGGAAATCCAACAGCAACATTGGTCTGGGATTCAGGAGTTGGTTGTTGGAAGCATTTGGTGGTAGGGTCAGGTCTGAAGCTGAGACTCCGATGGTTAGAGGCACCACTTTGGTCCAGAACAGAGAGAGACACAGTCTGTCTGAAAGGCCATGGCAGAAGAGTGTCAAAGTCTCCAGGCATGAGGACTACATAAAGTGACAGGTGAGTACCTCTTCCCTCCCCATCCCCATTCAGATAGGCTTTAATGGCCATCTTGTATCCAC